TTCTCTATGGAACTTTTGGCCTTTCATCACCAAGAAACCTAGGTTTTATAAAACTGATATTTTCGACCGTATAGACACAAGACGATTAAATAGAATCCTTAGCGGACATGCATTCGATAAGTACACTTTATCAAAAATGGAAGTTTTTGATAATGCTATTTGCGACACATGCAATGCAGTGAAAAATATTTCACATCTTATTTTAAATTGTTCAAAATACTCAAGCATTTCCAACACTTTCATTTTCCAATAAATATAATGATATTTATCGCTTCTTTGCAAATGAACCATTCGACAACTACATATCGATATATATACATATACTACATATATAAAAAAAAATTTTCGCTAATGCAAGCGCAATTTTAAGATCTCCTGAAATAAGATTTCATACATTAGCTGTGGCGTTAACCCGTTCACACGGGGAGGCCAAATAATTCTTCCACTTCCACTCCAGTGAACATTTAAACGTCGAAAACGAAACAAGACGTTTCCTCTTCAACGTTATAAATCGAATTATTTTTTCTCTAATCTTAAGCCTAACTTATTTATTGCGGCGAAGCGGGCCGAATTCGCACAAGAGCGAATATGAGCTTTTGCTCCCGATCCGCTCTAAGCTATCTTAGACTAGATTTAGAGACTAACAATTCAAATTAAAAACAACTTCAAATTCATTTGAAATCCAATCAAATACGTTAACACCGGCCCCGTTGAGGGCCGGTCCGGCTTCGACCCACTGGCAGCCGCGCCAGCTTGTGGACTGCTTTCTATACTCTGCTCCAGAGCTAGTCCTAGTCCTGAGCAAACCAAACAAATAAGGCAATATAGGACTTTAGGGTGGCCTACCTCGAATTTTCAATGTCGTATCAATAGGGCCACAAAAATCAACACCACATATGGAGAATGGGCGGAGAGCACGAATTCTATCTAAGGGGAATTCTCCCATGATTTGAGTGTTCAGAAGAGGCTTGCATTTAAAGCAGCGTATGCATGACCGTACTGTCTGACTGCAGACTTTGTGCGCATATACGATCCATAAGAGAGCGTTTTAGAGCGTTGAGAGCAATTGAGAGCGTTTTGTCAACAATACTGGAAACTTGGCATCGTACGATATAGGAGCATTAGTCTTTCTTTTGGATCTATCTATTTCATCTTGATACTCGTGCTCTTGGTCTATTTCGATTATTTTCTTAAAGGCTTCATTATATTCGACAGGTGAGGAAACAATATCAGAATTCACTACAAATTTCTTGGATTTCCTTATAAAGCGGAACATATAATAGAACACTCGGAGCAGTTTTAGGTGAGAGGAATATCCTTTGATCACTTCCAATAAATGTGAGGTAGAGACGATGACAGTTAATCCGACCGCATTATTTTTTGCATCAATCTGTATAAGTTCTGGTGACAGATCAAACCGGGGGATCGTCGGCCACTTATTTTCCGGTTTCTTTAAAAACGATGGACCTGTAAACCAGATCGATTCTAGATCGATTCCTCTGGACACTATATCTGCCGGGTTCTGTTTAGTTGGTACATGCCGCCACGTGCTATCATCTGACCACTCTTGAATTTCAGCAACTCTATTCGATACGAACGTTGACAACGACGATGGATGGGAACGAATCCCATGAAGAGTTACTTCTGAATCCGACCAAAATACACTTCGTTCGATCGTAACTTTTATTAGAGGCTTTATCTTGCGGCAGAGATCTGCGAGAAGGTGAGCGGCACATAACTCAAGACGGCGGAGCGTCTTTGTCTTGAGCGGCGCTACTTTGGACCTAGCCGTCAATAATGAAACTTTAATACCTTCTACAGATTCGCAACGAATATAGACGCAGGCTCCATAGGCTCCACGCATCTCATCGATGCGTCAGAAAAGGCCTGAATTTGAATCGGTGACATCGGCTGTCCTCGAGCCGATGTCCTCTAATTGCAACAAGGCAATTTGTATTTTGTTTCATGCTGTTTCTAAGTGAAGTGGAATCGACTCATCCCAATCTAGCTTATTTAGCCAAAGTTCAAGCAATAGGATTTTTTCTTTTATAAGTATAAGGCTTAATAAGCCAAAGGGGTGAAACAGCTTCGATGTCACCGAAAGAATGATCCAAATTTAATTCAAATTTAAATATATTTTCTTTAGCAACCCAAGCGATTCCCAATGCTTTAGTCAGTTCTGAGTCCGAAAGTGTTATTGGCTTAACCGTGCTCACGGATGCAGTACTTTCAGGCGAGTTTTTGAAAACCACTCAACTTTTTGAAAACTGCTCAATTCAAACCCAGCGCTTTGAAGAACCTGAGTTACTTCAGACTTAATTGTCATTAGCTCCTCATTGCTCCTCAGGTGACAGAAGCTTTTTTAAAAGTTTGTACTTCTTCCTACGAACAGAATTTTTCAAATTGCCATCTATCGACTCGAGTAATTATTTTTGGTAATTCCAAGCAAGTTGATACACGATTCCTCTCTACGGATCTGTAAGCGTTGAGCAAGATCTTCAGTAATAAAGTTCATTTGTGACCCAGAGTCAAGTAATGCTCGGGCCATAATGTGCTCGCTATTTTTAGTTATAACGCTTACGATCGACGTCGCTTAAAAAACCCTTTCTAGGGATGACGCATGCAAAGCATGTGACGTAGAAGGGCCATCAAGATGTAGGTGCAGAAGTTTGGGGTGCGATCTTGCACAAATTTGACGCCTAGCCGATTTACACTTCGCAACCGTGTGACCTTTTCGCAGACAATTTAAACATAATGAGGCTGACTTGACAAACTCAAACCGTTGCATTACAGCAAGGCGAGCGAACGGAATACACTGGGCAAGACTATGGTCTTGTGCGTTGCAATAACTGCAAGCTTGTTTGTTGGAAGCGGAGCAAGCCAACAAACTTCTATTGTGCTGCTTCCCGAATCCAGTTTTCTCCTGTTTTGGCTTGATAGTCTCTTCAGCAGACAGGTGCTGGACCTACGAAACTTTCGGAGGCTGAATAATTTTCTTATTTCGTTCGTAAAGATGAGACATTCGTTATCGCAAACTCTTTTTATACCCTTGCAGAGGGTATTATAATTTTGTCCAAAAGTGTGCAACGCAGTGAAGGAGACATCTCCGACCCTATAAAGTATATATATTCTTGATCAGGATCACCTCCTGAGTTGATATGAGCATGTCCGTCTGTCTGTCTGTCTGTTTCTACGCGAACCAGTCTCTCAGTTTTAAAGCTATCGTCTTAAAACTTTGCACACACTCTTCTTTCCTTTGCACGCAGTATATAAGTCGGAACGGCCGGGATCGGCCGACTATATCCTATAGCTGCCATATAACTGATTGATCGGAAATGGTATAACTTTGGTGTTTTTAGAGTTAGAGAGTTCAAATTTGACATGAGAGCTATTTTTGGCAAAATATTACGACATGCCAAATTTCATTAGGATCGGCCGACTATATCCTATAGCTGCCATATAACTGAACGATCGGAAATGACCCAACTTTCGTGTTTTGGATGATAGACAGCTGGCACTTGGTACACATTCTATTTTTGGTCAGTTAATCCGATCTACCAAATTTCAGAAAGATCGGTTGACTATATCTTATAGCTGACATATTACTGTACGATCGGAAATGGTTTTTGGTAGAAATATCAACTTTCGTATTTTTGAAGATAGAAGCTTGGGACTTTTTTTTAGATTTTTTATTGTAATTAATTGGTTTTATTATGATGTAATCATAAGGCTCGGACAACTATATCCGATGTTTGCGATATATATCCGGTTTTAGCTGCAAGGGTATATCAACTTCGGCTCCGTTCGAAGTTAGCTTTGCTTTCTTGTTAGACTAGCAATAGCTTTGTCATAATTACTCTCGGTGATTTGGAATGCCTTGATAGTTCGTAAGTCTTCACCATAGAGGCACGAAATTAAATGGTTAAATTACTCGATAACAGGAATGTTCACATCCTGGTCTACTAATGTCTCAAAGAGAGTCATACAATTTTTCAACTCCGAATAGTTTCTACTGAATTTTGGCAATGCCAACTGGGAAGTCGAGCTCGAGTTGGGGCTGCAGAAATTGCAGTAGTTGATGGGCACTCTTCAGCTATAGTGAAGGCATTTAATAATGACATCACCCATGCCTTAGTTGTTATCTTTAATTTTTCTAAATCGGCTCCAAATTAATTTTGATCTGGTCTTGCAACTCATTTGCCTTAAATATTGTCTTATTTAAAACCTGAAGCCTGCACTCTAGCTCAACCTTTACTAAAGGAACTGACCCAGCTTCCAAACGTTCCTCTAACCAGCGAATGCTTTTTACTTTGACATTTAATCTTCTTCTAAAATCATCAAGAGTCGTGGATTTTAGTTTCTGTTTATTAGTTTCCATTTTCTGATTTTACTTTTTATTTAATAAACAAAATACGATAAATATTAAAAAATTTATTATTTTTATTTTTAAATAAAAATTTTTTTATTTATTTTATTTATTATTATATTAAAAATTTTTTTTTCGAAACAAACGAAAACAAACAAACAAACAAAACCGAAAACAATCGAAATAAAGATATTTAATTTAATATCTGGCGAAAACGAACAAATAATTAAATAATATATGGCGAAAAAGATAAAATAATTCATTAATTAATTGATAGTCGAATTATGTGATAGTTGAGGCACTGAGTATCCAAAAAAAGTTGGTTACCAATGACATGAAAAAGGTGTATACCGAAACAATTATATGGTAGTGCGTCTCCTATGTAGGCGTTGACCCAAAAAGAGGTAGCGTTCCCCCAATGACATTCAGAAGTCCTTACTTCTGAAAATCAAAATTTTACGTGAAATTTGAATAACTCATTTAGTAGGATACCAAATCAAACTGCAAACCACCTTTGTCTAGTTTTGCTTTTAAATAAATAATAAAATAATTTTATTTGTTTATTCTAAAATGGACAAAACTTTGTCTTTGAATCAAGTTTACCCCATAAAACATAATAAACATAAAATTGGGATATATTCAAAAAAAATTTACTTGAATTAGCTTTTCTATAATTAGTAGCTTAAAATTAAGTGAAATGAGGGATACAATTCCTAATATAAATAGTTTCGTTATAATAGGACAAGTTGGCTTTTTCTACAGAAAAATTCGGTATTTCTTAGACATTGTGTCAAAAAAATAATAGCTTTTCAACATGATCATTGAGTTTGCCCAAATGTGTCTGGATGAAATGAAGAGTTCTGTCCTCAATTTTTGTTTTTTGAATATTAATTTAAAAGTTGAACTCGTTACGGAATTACTAATGTAATGCAATATTTAATGTTTTCTTAAATCTTTAAGATTCGGTTTGGTTATATATTTTGAGGATGCCCAAAATGCCATCTTTAGATGCCCAGAATGTCCATATCCAACATGTTATCTAGTGGCACCCGCTTCAGGCTGCCTAGGGAGAAATCTCCCGCAGCACTTGTGGCCACTGTCTTTGTTGAATCACTGCGACTCTGTGCAGACCGAGCAGCAGCCTAATTTGCGCCAGGGTACTTGGTGTTGGCCACGATCATGTTGCCTTTCATGGCCGCTTTAGCCGCTGGCCTCTCCCAAACCCGGACTCGAAGGCACAGATGATTCAGTACTAGCCTGGAAAAAGTAGTTGAAAGCGCTGCCCTGGACATTGGTGATCTGTAGAGTCTTTGTCGGAGTCGATGATCCGATGACGGGCGAAAGCTGTTTATTAGTGCCGGACACATTTCCTCCAAGTGGCTTCAGACCCAGGGTGGGAGCTTCGAGGCGACGCTTCAGGATGGTAGCCTCCACCACTGGGCTTAGGTTGGAGATGAGAGAACTGGCATTGTCGGGCATCTGACCACTAGGTGGTACCGGAGGAGTATTGCCCGCTCCGCAAATGGTGTAGCGGCGGGACATACTCAACTTTCCCGGCTGAGCAGTCTTAATGGCCGACACATTGGGCGGCTGGCCGAAGAAGGTGTTCATGCTAGAGTCTTGGTACCTTACAGCCGCCACAACGGAGGTTGCCCGGGGACTGACGACGGAATGCACCACCTTGATGGCCCCAGATGTACCACTCACGGAAGATTCTTTGGGGCGTAACTCCTCCATCGAAGCGCCTTTATATCCATTCGACTTGCCATTCATCTCAAGGATACTGTAAGGCATCTTTTCATGCCCCGGTCCGATCATGATAGGAGTAGTCGTCACCTCTACTGACGAGCCCGGCTTAATAACCCTCTGAACCATTTCACGGGGCATAATCCGCGTTTGTCGCGACACTTCTGGTGCTGCCGGCTTTCCGCCGGCACTGGTTGTGGGTGCGCTTGAAGATGGCCCTCGAGGTGACGGTGGCGTAGAAGTCACCTTGGCCGCACTTACCAGGCTAACCAGCTCCCTAAACAGCTGTAACTCCGGATCCGATACGAGCTCAAAGCCAGACAGAGTGTTAATATCAGAGAAACAAAGCTCTCCGGACTCTGGAAAGTCAGTGGCATCATCAAAGGTCTCTATGAGCGATTGAAACACCTTTTCTTGAACATCATCTTCTGGCGAGGATTCATCTCCGTCATTTGGGGTTTGATCATCTCGAGGAATTTCTCGTCAGTGTTGAGCTCCTGGCTTTCCGTTGAGAGCGACAATTTTACAGGGGATGCGGAATTTTTCTGCAAAGCGCACCCAAGTGATTCCCGCGAATCGTTCATCGCAATGTTGCCCCTTTTCTTTCCTATAATGAGTAAGTGGCTGTTTGGTTTGATAAAAATTCAAACTGATTGGCGGGAGATTCGACTGAATAGCCTTCTGATGGCTTCCCCAAGGTTGCAGTCTGCGGTTCTTGGATTACTTCCGGATTGAAACCAAAACAAGTCAACTCTGCCTCAGAGTTTTCCTATTAAGGGAAAGGGGTCTTAATAAGGGGTCCCTGATTTCGCTGTCCCTTTCCAAATCGCGGCCGTCATCAGCCAGATATAGGTGGGGGTCTAGGAATTTCCGTTCCTCCGCCAAAGGATATAACAGGCGCCGCTGACTTAGCTGTTCCGCAGTTGGCGCCACTGCCTCATGCAATAGTAAACTGTAAAAAATATAACAAAAACAGAAAATTAGGCCGTCCAATAAAATCCCGTCCTACGTGAAGGTACAAGTAGAGCCACACCTGCTGTTGAAACCACCCCAACCCCCAGTATACCAAATCCCGGCCTCATTGGTCGGTTTATCATTAAAAATGATCCAGGTAAAGTTTCACTCAAGCGTTTCTGACCTTGAGGGCTTTTTTTTAATGCTTTTTTTAAATGCAAGGTTAGTTGTTTTTTTTTAAGTTTTATTTGTACTTTACATAAAATGATACAAACCTCAATATACAAAAATGGTATTATAGTTTATTTTAGCTTTAACTTTTTTTAAATGATTTTAAAACCAACAAATTGTATTATAGGGTAAAATGTGTTTAAAAAAATATGTCCGTCAAATTAGCGTCGCTCAGTTAGCATCGAAGTGGAACGGTGGAACTGGAACACAGCAACGAACTTTTTGCTTTTCAATTATCTCCGTATTTAGCCACTAAATTTAATCAAATAAACACTAGAATTGTTAAGAACTGAATAAACTATTGTTTTTCTTACTTTGGTTTGGTTTTTGGTTCTACACTCTTAAAATAGGTTTGAATGAATAGCTAGCTTTGGGTTTGAAAAATTGCCCCTTCACATACAAAAATGACCCCAACAAATTGTTTTATGCACGGTAGTGCAGTCGATGTGGGACCTTTTCAAGTATGTATGGACCAAAAATCATACAAATCGTTCCCACAGATTTTGAGAAAATCGAATTACAGTTCCTCATATAAATTGACAAATAAGAGAAGTGCCAACTATTAAGTCCTTCACAGAGATGCGCCAAATTCGACGGTATACCGTTGAAAAGCTTATTTTATTCAGAACATTATAAGACTATTTTTATTTAAATCGCTCCCACAGATTTAATGAAATCAAGTCCCGAAATTTTTAGACCCTGATTCACCAGTACTGGCCATTAACAGCATCACATATTTCTGCGCTGCCTAACACGGCGCCCGCCGTTATGGAATTTGAATGCCCACACTAGCTTTTTTTACAGAGGATGCGCCATTATGCACGGTATACCACTTGAGAGCTATTTTTTAGGCCATTCGAATGGTACCTGTCCCATTAATATCCTGAAATTTTCGGACCCTGGTTCGCCAATACTGGCCATTATCATTGTACGTCCAACATACATACATCTATGGAAACAACGATCGTGGATGCTGCAAAAATGGTAAGTAAATTTATTTTTGACTTTTTTTATTTTTGAATTTTGGACTTTGCTGCGTGATCTTGCTACGAAGGACTTTGATCTTCTAGCATACATAAGTCTCTTAATAGTTGAAAAGTTTTGCCGTTCGTGACCATATGTTGACCAAACGTTTCCTTATACGGGCTCGTGTTTATGTCCAGATGAACTCCAGATCGTAGAGCGCAGTTGATTCAGGCCACTAGGAGGCCTCCGCGAGGATTCGGATGGATCGCCAAACGCCGAGAGCTTTCTCTTCCAGTAACAGGAAGAGAGTTAAAACATACATTAAAATAGACCGCTAATATACATATGTGCATGCATAACTCTCTGCCCGTTTTACCTATTGTTACTTTACTTACTTATATGTATATTTTTTTTTTTTTGAACGTTGCTTTTATTTCTTCAATCTTCTCTTTGCGAGACTAACAAGAGGTGTATCAAATCTTATATTTTTAACTTCACTAACAGTCATATTGACTGATACGGAGTTAGACGGCCCTAAAAATCAATTGCTGGGTTGGGAGGTCGTTGCGTCTAAGGCGGGATACGCTAGAAACCCCCGAGCGAAATTTGGGTGCGAAGACAGTTTTTCTTTGTATGACTCTTTTTGCTTATGGATTTCGTCTTTCACTGCCAGGATGCCCAGATTCCGGTGGATGTTTTCGTTGCGAACATACCAAGGTGCCCCTGTGATAGTTCTCAAGATTTCTGATTGTGCGCGCTGTATGATGTCTATGTTGCTGCTGCCCGCGTTCCCCCACAGCTGGGAGCCATACGTCCAGATTGGCTTTAGGACTGAATTGTATAGTAGTAACTTGTAGTCCAGGCACAGTGGCGATCGTGAGTTTATGATCCAGTGGAGGCTGCTGGCTTTCAGTTTTAGGTGCATCTTTTTGTGCATTCGTGCATTCGATGTGCTTACGCCAGGTAAGTCGTCTATCAAGGTGGACTCCAAGGTACGTTACTTCGTTAGCTTGAGGGATTTGCATACCGTTTAGTAAAAGCGGAGGGCATGTTTGTCTGTTAAGAGTAATCGTTATATGTTTACACTTTCGTTCGTTGGTTTTAATGCGCCAGTTGGACAGCCACCTTTCCAATATTATGAGATGATTAGCCAGTTGGGTTGTTGCCTGCGTTTGGCATCTGGAGCGACTAAGGATAGCGGTATCATCGGCGAACGTTGAGGTTGTTAGTTGTGCGCTCGTTGGAATATCCGCAGTATACAAAAGATATAGACACGGGCCGAGTGCGCTTCATTGTGGAACTCCAGCTTCGATGGTGTAGTCGCCCGAAGTAGCTGCATTGCACCTCACTGAGAACACTCTATTGTAGAGATATGATTCCAGTAGCTTGTCGGTGTATGTTAGCAAATGGTTTCATGGTTTCTTCGGAAGCCAAATTGGTGTGCCGGGATAATATTGCAAGCTTCCAGAAGTGGTATTATGCGAGTTAACACGCATTTTTTAAACAATTTAGACAAACAAGAACTAAGGCTTATTGGTCTGTATGATGACGGAATTGCGTGGTCTTTTCCAGGCTTCGGTATCATTATAATGATGGATTTCTTCCACTTTTTTGGGAAATAGCCAAGATAAATGATTCCATTAAATAGTTTGCAGACGACCTCTATAGCGCATTTTGGAAGTTCGATCAGCATCTTTGGGGTCAATAGGTCACCACCGGGAGCCTTTTTGGTTTAACCCTCTTATGACTTTTCCGATTTCGTTCGGCCGGAATGAAGGTGCGGCTGGCTGAGGGGAGGACTCTGGCTGAATGTCTGGCAGGAGGAATGAATTTGAGGCTGGGTTTGGCTGGAAAAAACTTCGTCGGTCTTCGTCGCTGCGAGCCCAGCATCCCGAAGACTTTCTTATGGGTGGGCCCCCACAGGTTGTACTTTGTGCTTGTTGGCGAGAGATTCTGGATGTACCTCAGCTGTGCATTTTCTTCCTGTTGGTGAAGAGCCTGGTCGAGTGATCGGGTTGCTTCCTTAAGGCCTTGTTTTGAAGCTGGTAATCTGCTGTTTTGCAAATCACGAAGCGTGCGCCTCTTTTCTCGCACGAGCTGTTCGATTTGCTGATTAGATTTGAAGTATTTGTTTCGGTTTACTTCTTTCCCATGAGGAGGAGAGATTTTAGCTGCCGCAACAAGTACTTCTTCCAGGGAGCTCGTGGTGTAGTCGATATCCGATTCCATGTTAAATTCCGGGGCGAGTTCTATGTGTATTTTAGCCAGTTCGTTTTTGGCGTCGTCAGGCTGAAGGGGTTATTTCTGGGCTTTGAAGAAGCGTTAGAAGCACAGGTGAGTGGTCTGATGATAAGTCCGAGACTGCTTTGGCACTTATTAGATTGCGAGGTATGTTTTTTGTCACTGCAAAATCAATAAGGTCTGGGAGCTTTCGTGAGTCTGTTGGCCAGTGTGTGCGACTTCCAGGGAAAACGTAGTCCAGTTTATTTTTCACATTTATAATTGCATTGTACAATTGGCTTCCGTTGGGAGTCACTAGACGTGATCTCCAGTGCGTATATTTGGCATCGTAGTCTCCTGCCGCTATAAATCGTTCCCCAAGTGAATTGTAGAAGTCCATAAATTGTCCTTCCGAGATTGAGAAACGAGGAGGGCAGTAAACGGCAGCGATTGAAAGGATTCCGTTGCTTGACTGAATTTGTATCGATGTTGCCTGCAAGAAGTTTGTTGCAAACCTTTTGTGAAAATGGTGTTTAATGCGTTCTCTGATTAGAACTCCAGTTCCGCCGTGGGCTTTCCCATCTGGATGATCTGTGCGGCAGATTGTATAGCCTCTTATTATACCCTTGCAGAGGGTATTATAATTTTGTCCAAAAGTGTGCAACGCAGTGAAGGAGACATCTCCGACCCTATAAAGTATATATATTCTTGATCAGGATCACCTCCTGAGTTGATATGAGCATGTCCGTCTGTCCGTCTGTCCGTCTGTCTGTCTGTCTGTTTCTACGCGAACTAGTCTCTCAGTTTTAAAGCTATCGACTTGAAACTTTGCACACACCCTTCTTTCCTTTGCACGCAGTATATAAGTCGGAACGGCCCGGATCGGCCGACTATATCCTATAGCTGCCATATAACTGATTGATCGGAAATGGTATAACTTCGGTGTTTTTAGAGTTAGAGAGTTCAAATTTGATATGAGAGCTATTTTTGGCAAAATAATATGACATGCCAAATTTCATAAGGATCGGCCGACTATATCCTATAGCTGCCATATAACTGAACGATCGGAAATGACCCAACTTTCGTGTTTTTGAAGATAGAAAGCTGGAACTTAGTACAGATTTAATTCTTGGTCAGTTGATCCAACCTACCAAATTTCATTAGGATCGGCCGACTATATCCCATAGCTGCCATATAACTGAACGATCGGAAATGGTATTTGGTAGAAATATCAACTTTCGTATTTTTGAAGATAGAAGTTTGGGACTTTTTTTAGATTTTGTATTGTAATAAATTGGATTATATATTCCTATTCCCATAAGGATCGGCCAACTATATCCGATGTTTGCGATATATATCCGGTTTTAACTGCAAGGGTATATAAACTTCGGCTCCGCCCGAAGTTAGCTTTCCTTTCTTGTATGAAAGTGGTATTTGCTTGTAAGATGCGTTTCCACCAGTAGCATAACGTCAATATGGTTTTCGGTCAAGAATTGTGACAATTCTTGTTTATGCCGCGATACACCATTGGCGTTCCGCATTGATATTCGTAGCGCCTGCAGAGATTATTTAGACTGTTGTGCTACAAGCAGCTGTATCACCATGTTCTGGTTTTGAACAATCGCTTTAGACCTTTTTTTTAATTAACTCCTGTCAAAATTATTTATTATCTCGCTGCTGAACTACCACCCATTTACAGATTTGAATTCGTACAGCTAAAGAGTTAGCCAAATCCTTTGCGTTCAGACTTCCAACTGCTTCACTCTTACCTCTTTCATGCTCATACACTAAAACCAGCTACAGTAGAATCTATTCTAAATATATAAAGCTTGGCGCTATTCAAACTTTACAAAATAACTGTTCCAGCAATTATATTGCCCAGGAAATATTCTCCAAAATCGAAAATTGTTCTATGCTTCCAAAGGTTGTAGTTCACCACATACCCAGCCATGCAAATATTTGGG